AAGTTCAGAACTTATCATGCAGAGGGGTAGAAATTTTATAAATTGCAAAAATAAAAAATGTAAGTAATACTTATATATCATAAAAATGTATTTTATCTAATACGTAAAGGAGGATTACAAAGTTCTGAGTCCAGAATGTGGGAAGGGCTGTAATAGGATGTTTGAAATCATTTCAAAACAACTGCAAGAAATTTATCAAATATGCGGAAAAGGCCTCGAGTGCAAAGGGTTAAGATCTATTACATTTAGGTAGAAACATTCTTACACTAGGTTCCCCTTTGTCGATTCATATCATTCATGATCGATCGATCGATCGATGTGTCGGAGAACGAAGCTTGATCAAAACGTACGACGTGTACTCACGTTCTCTCGCCGAACGGAAGTTGAATGATCGTCTGGAATGCTGAATGAACAGGTTCGTCGTCATCGAGATGATAATAATGATGATGATGATGATGATGATGATGATGATGCTCAGTTAACCCTTCTCAGCATTTCTGATCGTTCTTTATTCCTGTTATTATGATGCGACGATCATACATTTTAATTTAAGTTTCGAGAAACTTTTTTATTAATCATGATTTATATTCCAAATCATTTTCCGATGATTCATATGTATCCTACACATATTCTACATTCAGTTCATGCGAACAGTTATTTTGTGTTTTTTTATTAATAAATAATAATTAATAATATATTGTTTATATTATTTGTAGTGTTTTGTATATTTAATTTCATCATAGTTCTATCTAATATTATTAGAACATTTATCTAATGTATTATCTGTTCCAAATTTTTTAACAGATTACTTAAGACAACAAATATTCTCAAGTATGTCGCAGTAACCTTCTAATCTAACAAAATGTTCCTCAAACTATTCTTAGATTAAAACCTAAAACAGAGTAATTCCTAAAATGAAACCCACGTACTTGTTAGAATTTAACATAGGACGCTTTGGAAAAATCTAAATTCAATGAGGGAGAATAGAAAATTGTTGGTAATCGTTACACTCAAATATTCCTTCCAATAAAATTATTTGTCTTCTCTTAATAAATTAAATTATATTTTTTCTTTTTTATTGCAGATTAATTAAATAATAAAAAAAAAGAAAAGGTACTTCATTAAAAAAATATCAGTTACATTCTGTTACTTTCTAATTACGTGTAATATATAACTGCAATAACGTAAGACACGCTTATAATGAATCATAAGAGTAAACTGATCGTGCAAAAGAGAAGGGTTAAAGGCACGAATCGACGATAGATAATAAAAGGTCAAATTGGCATACAATCCAGAATAAAGAACAATGTAAGGTAAGTACCCATACGAATCTTTGATCATAAAAAGAATCGATCGAAATCCTGATAATACAAGAATAATAACTGCAACAACAAGAATAAGAACAACAACAACAACAACAACATACTACTATAAAGTTTCTTATATTCGATCGGATAAAATACGATGGTCCGTAATTCGGGCAGCACTGGCATAAAACTTTCCGATTCTGTAGATTTACGATTCTCCTCGCGGAGACTCTTGAGTTATGGCATCCCATAGCCCCTGCGCGCTCGCTGCATTTGCAAACCCGTTGTACCCGTTGCACGGTGTATCGTCTCGCGAGCAGGTTTTGCCTGCGTTACACTTCATATTTGCCAGGGTGCATTCGCGAATAGTACACACACACATACGTACCGTGAATACCTGTGACTACTTCGAAAAGTAAGAAATGGTGCGTTATCATCGACACTGTGCACTCTTGCTCGCCTGAAAGACCTGTCTGCCTTCGCAAATCACTTTTTCTGACATTACACGATACCTTTCCTTCGTGCCGGTTCAAACGAAAATAAAAGAAATAAATAAAGAAAAGGGAGAAAGAGAGAGACTCGGGACTCTCTTTCTTACAACACAAAAACGAATGAACGATATTTCGTTGGGTAGCAAGCGGCACTAAACGCTCCTGCATTCTCTTCCCGAAGAGAGACCTCCATGAGTGAACAGCATCCCCCGTTTTGTTTCTTTTTTATTACTTTCCTACGTCGAGGGTACATTTACGGCTCGCCTTTTTATTTTATCTTTTCTTTCTTTTTTCTCCCACCTTTTATTTTATTCTTACCCGACGACTACGGCGAAGTTTTTCGCCTTTAAGGATATGCACGCTATTTCTGTGTGCGTATATGTGAAGAACTCTTTGTCTCTTCCTTTTTTATTTTCATTTTTAATACGCAAACCTGTTGCTTACCTTTCTGTTATTTTATTTAAAATGTGATTCTTTGGAATTTAATTATAAAGTAATTTAATTAAAAACGAACTAAATAATATGCTGCAACAAAATTTCACTCGGTCTAGTATTAACATGATTTGTCCTGATACAAATTATATAATACAATCCTTATAGCATTTAGAAATCTGTATAATTGAAAAGTAAATTCTAGTAGAATCAGATAATATGAAAAAAAATATAATACTATAGATTTTGTATAAACTGATGTGATCATATGCTTTACGTTCGAGTAATCACGTTATGTAATTATGGTCTCTCAGCAATGACAGTATTCTGAATAGCAGTCATTGGTATTGTCCTGTGCTACATATCGATCACTGTCCTGTTCCCACTTTCGATATTACGTATATAATACTCATTACACGATTTCCAGCTATCTTAGTATACATATTGCATAACTTATTTACAGTGTATGTCCCACATATGCAGTAAATACGTTTAAATTTCCTATATATGTATTATTTTCTTAATGATAAAAATAAAATTAACTTTTATTTACAATCGGAGATATCTAAAATAACGTTTGTAAAATCAAGATTCATAATGAGTACACTGTAAAAAAATACATATTCATTCGAAGACGTATGTTTTATATGTATATGGTAACTTTAAGTCATTCACGCGACCGGTTACAGCAATGAACTCGCAACAACATCCTGTAATTAAACTACTTGACTTAATAATGCTCAAGAAGATTTGATGGACCTAATGTACGATCGTGACAAACAGTAAAAAAAAAATCTATATACAGATTTTTTAACTACATGTACAGGATGTCTCAGAGTTTATCGGCTAAACTATGGGAACAAAAAGATTTACTGTTCAATAATTACTTCCAACAGATTACAGGATCAATGAATTGAATTTTGTAATTGGTATGCTTTGTGATCTGCTCACTGGTTCGTTTAATCTGCTGTTAATTATTTCAATCTCATTTGCTTATAATGCCAGTTATATATATATATATGTCTTACATAGAAAAATTTTTTATGTATATTTAAATATTTATTTAATAGTAAACTTAAATATAGATAAATAGTAGACCGCAATAATTAGTAGCAAAAACTTCTTATATTTCATAAAAGCTGGAGTAAAATACATAATGTTATTGTAAAGCATATTTGTGAATAATCATTAAGTTTTAATACTACAATGTAACAAAAATCTATGATATATAACATATGATCGATTCTCTATATTTGGTGAAATTTATACTTTTAACCGAATAAACGCATTAACGAATGATTAAATGAATATCATTTTAAATTAAATAAAAAGAGAAAAAACGATTTTAAAAAAAGGAAAAAAAAAGAAAGAACACAGAAGAGACAAAAACTTAAAAGAATTAAAATAAATTTATATATACACATATATATATATATATATATATATATGCTTTCTTTTAATATTATTTTATTATAATTAATATAAATGCTATTATAATATATTACTGCATTTTCTGCAATTGATTTTTATTTCATATTGTTTTTTATTTTTCTTCTTTATACCATCTGAAACATTTTCATTTCTTAGCTGTTTAAATTTATTATCATATAATTCAGATCACAATTAGATTTTTATAAGAATGTTAGTTTTTCCATAGTAGTACGAGAAGGGCAACGTCTCAAACAAAAATAATCTGCTTATTATAAGTTTTAATGTTATTACCAAAGATAAATATTAGAACATCATCTGCAGCATTGTTATTATTCGAATATTGTATTGTATTTGAGCACCATTAATGTGCACACAATAAATAATATTTAATTATTACACAACGTATATATGCATAGCACAAAAGTGAAGTATTTTTTTTTCTTTCCCTTTCGTAATCACATTTGTGCATATTTTTCTACCCAAGAAGCTTTTATCCATTCGCCGTGTCTATTTAAAAAATAGCAGAGTCAATGGTAGTAACAAAAAATTGACAATGAGAATCAATTTTGTTTTACAGTTAATTATTACATAAATGTAGTTGGATTTTGGTGGCTGCAATAAATCAAATTTGTACAAATTATTTTCATATTTATCATTTTTCGCAAAAAAAAACAACGTTTAAAACAATAAAATTGTAACAATTAAAAACATTAAATATATAAATATGTATATGTATATCATTTTAATTATTATTATTGTTATAAAATCATGATTAATAAATAGTATGATTATAAATAGTAAATTGATAATGTGTTTCAATAAATATAATTAATCAATGTGTATGTGTAATTACAGATCAAGCCACCAATTCCTTGTACATAGTTATGTGCTGTTACGAGGCTACATCGTGCGAATTTCTCTTGTATTATTATTACAATTATTACATCTGTGTTTGAAGTATGGAAGCAGCATGCCATTTATTTATTTTATTTTTTATTTTATTTATTTTTTTTTTTATTTTTGATATAGAACTATAATATTATGTTTGAAGTTTCCATCTAAAAATGACTTCAAAAGGAATCGTAGAAGTATCATTAGAAAAAACTTTGACAACACATATTATGAACACGTATGTGAAGTTTTTCTCTTTTCCTTTTATTTTTTTCTTATTGACTTCTACCATCTGGATTCCTAAACCTTTTATTTTTTCTTGTTTTCCGTATCCATAACAATTACATAGATATCACGCGTGCATATTGTTTTTTATAAATATAATCTCGCCCCGTCTGATATTATATTGCAATACGAATTTCGTATAATGGAAAATATTGTTTTTTACTTTTCTTTTTTTTTTCAATTTTTATTTCTTTTTTCTTCTTTTTTGTTTTAAAATAAGCTCTCAAACGTATTTGAAACACGTCATTCATAGTAAAAATCGTAAAAATTGAATAAATAAAGGAAAGTATAATAAACATTGAAAAGAACGAGATTAAAAATTACTTAATTAAAAATATATAAGAATGTTTCATAATAAACTCGTTATTAGATTTTTATTTCCTGGCTCATAATCTACACCCAATTCTAACATTGAAGTACTTCGAGCACGTATTATGAGAACGCTATAGATACATTCAATGTATGCCCGAAATTTTTGGAAAGACTGTCAAATTCGATGATACATGACTACGTATTTGAATACAAATTGGGGTGAACTATTAGAGTTCAAAAGTGGCTATAACTTGGAGATAAGATCAAATAAGACACATATTTGCATAAACTTTTTTCAGTGTTTTTGTATCTTTTGTCCACTTCTGACATGAGTCCCACATATTACGAAACATCCCATATATAAAACTTTTTTACCAAAAAACAGGAAAAATAATAAAGAAAATGAGAATGCATAATCCAATCGTTAATGAAAATCAATAACCAAATAACGGAATGATACATAAAACAAAAGATAAAAGAGCGCGCGCGAGATATTATTTTGAAGAGAATACATTTATATTAATTTATTAGTTACTTTTTTTTTTTCTTAGCTTTGATTAGGCTATTTCTCATGAAAATCAAAGTTTCGATACGTTCGTTAATTGTTTTTTTTTCCCAAATTTTTTTTTTCTTAAATACTGTTATATAGATTATGTTTTTAAGTAATATAATATAAGCGTTTATTTTTTTATTTTTTGTATTTTTTTTCCTTGTTGATAGCTAGTGTAACGATATTATAGAATAATTTAATGGCATATTTGCTTTCCTTCGTAATTCTAACAAAATTTAATCATTACACTGTAGTAACTGGAGAATATTATAAAAACATTGGAAACCAAAGGTCTTTTTTTCAAGCCACTGTTGTTTTACATTTATCATATATACCATCATGTAATTAGTACAAATGCACCAATAAAAGAAGTACCTTTCATTAATATGTAAATGATGATACTGGACCAACTGATAAATATATCCCAAATATTTATGTTTTAGTAATATCCATAGGTGATCCAGTTGATCCGCTTACATTAGTGCTAGGATTTGTTAACTGAGGACCACCAGGATTAACAATAGTCGGAGGAATTGCTGGCTTAACAAATCTATCAGATGTACGTCTGGTAGATGGTGGAACTATGTGTCCCTATAGAAAAACATTAACATTATTCGTATTAGTATAAGATTAGTTTTGATTTAAATCAGGATCAAATGATGGATAACTATAATCACTGATAGTTTTGAAAGGGTTAGTAATAACATTTTAAAACGCTATCATTTTTATATTACTTACTCCCGAAGGAGGAGATGAACTAGTAAAAGGAAGAGTAGTTGGTTGACCGCACGTATAACACCGATTAGGATTGAAATTTTCTCGTGTTACTGAACCTAATACATTATTACCTGTTAATAATGAATAATTAAAAATTTCCACTTTTACGTACCTTTAAATTATTATACTATATTTAAATACCTGGACTGAGTGGCCTGGAAGAACTAGGAGAAGGATTGTACGGAATAGGACTTGAAACCGTACGACTTCTTATGTTACCACCAGACATTACAATTTCATTATAATGACGTTCCTCTTCCATTTCCAGACTATTGTAAAGAAAATTGAACAAACATTAATCATCGTATATATGCTTAAAATAATGCAAGAATAAATACCTGGATTCTGATTCTGATAGATGTCTACACAAAGCTTCTCGACGTTCTACTTCTAGTTGTAGTTTTCTTTGCAGTCTTAAATTTTCTTCACGTATTTGCTTTTCTTCGTTAACGTAACGTTGCATCTTTTCCGTATCTAAAATATTATAATTATATATAAATAAAATAGCATGTCATAAATATAAAAATATAAATATATTACAATAATTAAATATACTTACGTTCTTGTTGCGAAATTAATAAAGTATGCCTCAAGCGTGCAACCTCGCTTCTTAAAGTCTGAATATGTGTACTTAAATTAGTTGCAGTATCACCATTATTCATTTCCCTCGGCGAAGTTGGATCTGACACGGGTTGATCCAATTTGATTTGAAGCATTCTTTTCTCTGCTTCCAACTTGTCCATTCGTTTCCATAATTTATTAACCAAAGCTTCTTGCTCTTGTTCCAGAGTATTTTCAAGTTCTACTTTTTCTCTACGCAACTGATCTAAATTGCTTTGCTTTGCAAGCGTTTCTGCCTCCAATTTCTCGATTTTTCTCATTAACTTGTTTACAAGACATTCTTGTTCTTGTTCTAAAGTTTGTTCCAAACGACATTTCTCTTGACGTAATTGATTCAATTTCCTTGACAGATCATTCGTTAAACATTCTTCCTCCTGTTCGTAGTGGTGCGCTAATGTTTCTTTCTCTTTTTTGAGGGCCTGGATCTTTTTCAATAAGGTATTGCTTATAAACTCTTCTTCCTGCTCGGCTTTAGCTTGCTATAAAACAATACCAGAATATGAAAAGAAGAAAAGTCTAAACAGTGTAGTTATTTCAATTTAACTGGTTCAGTTTCAACGCTCAGTTCTGATTTACTAAAATAAGTATATCCTTAATAAAAATTAATTGAAGAACTTTGAGCACGCATACAAGAAGGCTGTCAACAGATTCCTGAAATTTTGGGAGGACTGCGAAATTCAATGATACGGTTACAAACTTAGATATAAACCAGCATATTCATTTCTAACACCTTCTGTGGAGATAAACTATCACAGATTATTGAAACGCAAATGTGGCTATAACTTTAAAATGAAATCAAATAGGACACATATTTATATGAACTTTTTAATTGTTTTTTGTTACTTGCCCATTCTTAAAGTGGACACATATTATGAAACATTTTGTACTCCAAAATTATAAAGTATATTAAACATGTCATCTACTACACTCTAACTATAATAAACATGAAAATGTAAACATTTTATAAAATCGGTCATTAAAAAGATATTGAATAACGTAAAACAGGTTAGAAAAGAGAAAAATATATTGAGAACAAAATGTTTCTTTTTTTTTTTTTTTTTAAGGAATTCTTGCAAATATGTTTCTAACCCAAAAAATGATACATACATATGCACACATATAGAAAATAAATTTGAAATATAAAAATATATAAAAGATATTTAAAAACATACTATAATAACAGAAGCTTGACGAAGGCTGCGATTTTCTTCCTGCAGTGCCTTGACCCTCAATTTGTAAGTCTCGAGTTCAACTTTGAGAACACGATTATGTTGTTGAAGCGATTCGATTCTTTTTTGTAATTGTTCACGAGAAATTGGTGATGGTGGCATCATAATTGGACCACCGTCGATTGAACTCGAATCGCTTTCGGATGCGCTATCACGGTCAGCCATTTTTCTCGAGTATGAGAAATATATTCAAAAAATACAACCTAGAGAATATTGTTCATTTCACAAATAAGTATCTAATAAGGAAGACGTATTTGAATCCTTATTAATTCTATTAGACTTAATCAACCAAGTATTATACTTTAACTATTTAAACTTGTCTTAAATTCTTATACTGTACCGCACTAAACATGTGCTTTAAACCGAAACAAATCAGCTGTTTCGTCTTTCACCGACTATTTAAAAATAGGTGTGGGCGCGTCGGCGAGCTCTCTGCGCACTGCGGGATTCTTTAAGGTTATTTTCATGAACATATCATAATGATTATCAACAATACACAATATTACATTTGTTATAGTATAAATAATATATATATATTTTTTTATATCATTTAAATGATAGACAAAAATAATTATAGAATCAAATTAATCAAATAGTTCAACATAAAACATTTAATAAGAAATATTTTGACTTACGGACTGTTCCAATTGAATGATTTTACTTGTCCTGTTAAAATTTCCAATAGAAGTAATTTAATTACTATTTAAGATTAAATATATGTTTTATTTTGTTTTTGTGTTAATAATTTATACAATTAAAACAATATTAAATAGAAATAATAATAAAGTATGAAATATTACAATAAGATTTAATAATTTAAAGTCTATTTGCATTGAGAACGACAGTATATCATCTGATCATGCGCAGTAAATTTCAAGTAGATTATCAATAAGAAGACATTGAGTCATTTCTATGTCTAGTTTATGGTCTAGGATCCTTGATATAGGTCTGTAAAAAAATAACACTATTGCATCTTGCTAAAAAAAAAAACAAAATATTTACATTATTTATTTTTATAATTAAATAATTGAAAAACTCTAGAAGAAAGGTACAGTTGTTTAAAAGGAAATTTTTTAAATAATAAAAATTCATTTGTAAATACATAAAACAATTTATCTGTATATAAATTTGAAACGTTAAATGTAAATTTATTTTTTTGTAAGAGTATATTTTTTATTATAAAATTGCAACTAAAATTATTTGTTTTGTTTATTAGTCCATACAAGAAAGAAAAACAATGTTACGCAGTATCAGAAAAACAGTACTACTAGGAATGCATTCCAAAAATTATTTAATACCTGTTAAAATAAACTCGCCACAATATTTGTACAGTTGTCAGAAAGCAATAGTACAAACTAATATGGAACAGAAACGATATTATAAAAATTTTGGTCATAGAACTAAACCGATGAACAGACATGATTACCTAAGTATGATATTAGGATTTACAGTAATTCTTTCTATTGGTTTTATGGCAAAGTAAGTAAAGCATTAATTATGGAAATAATAAAAGTATAATTATGAATATTTTCTCTTATAGGCAAAACTATATACCGGAAAGCGAAATTGTAAAATTTCCAAAAGTAGATGCTGCTGTATTATTACATGAAAATGATAAAGAAGAAGATACAAATGTGGATAACATTGAACAAGACGATCAGAAAAAGAAAAAAGGGAAAAAAGAGAAAACTGGATTCCGTGATAGAAAGGTTGAATAATATTGTTAATTTATCGAGTCCTTTTCGATCTAGACAAATAATAGTGAAACAATCATTGATATTATTTAACTGTTTGTCATTATAAATACAATGAGATATATTTAACTGTTTGTCATTATAAATACAATGAGATATAATATGATTTAGTTCTGTATTTAATAGAAATTTGACAACGTATCTTATGTAAAATATTTTCCTAATCACATATTTTTAATGTTAATTAAATTAAATTTAAATTAGTATGATATGGATCTATATAAAATTAGGTATGAAGCATAAAAAGTTTGTAAAGACAGAGACATTTTTACAGATAATAGAATATGAAAATAGGATGAGAGCTTATTCGACACCAGATAAAATTTTTAGATATTTTGCAACAGTAAGAGTAACTAGTTTAGAAGGTACAGAGATATTTATGACACCCGATGATTTCTTAAGAGCTATTACTCCTGGCATGAAACAACCGGATGGTAATACCTTGAGTGCATTTATATTGAATTTGCAGTATATTGGCACTGTTACAATTACTTTTTTATCTTTTTTTTGTATTACTAACAGATAAAAATACTAACATAAAACAAGATAGGATTTTATTGCTATGAACCAATTGCTATTTGACTTTAACTATTAATGCTCGAATTTTTATTAATATTTACACGTGAAGGCATTAAATTGAAAAATCGAAACGTTCTTATAAGCATCTTATATAATTGACGAGAATTATTGGTGATGCTTAATTTATTATATAAGACATATCAATCGTTTTAAATAGGTCCTTTAGAAATAATCTAATTAAAATAATTTACTAACGCTTAATATATTTTTAAAATACAGATAATAGAATATGAAAATCGTATAAGGCATTATTCAACGCCAGATAAAGTATTCAGATATTTTGCAACTCTCCAAATAACTAATAATGATATACATGAAGTATTTATGACACCCGATGATTTCTTGAGATCAATGACACCTGGTATTAAACAACCTGATGGTAACTTTTTAAATATCAAATGTTAATTGTCTTTTTTAAATTGTCTATATTTCGTTGTATCTGTTTTCTTTCTTAATTATATCATTCTGTTGTATTTATTGATTTTATTTTTATGCCTTCAATAGAAATATCCAAATGTAATTATACGTTTTATGAGATATATGTGACGTTATTAATTATCTGCTTTAAAAGTGTTGTAATCCTGCATGATAATGATTTATTGCCTAAATTATTTAATACTTTTAATTTATATTTCACGTATATATATATATATATAACAATTATCTAACAATTAAATCTATTTTAGGTCTTGGATTAGATCAATATAAAAAATATGATCCCAAGGTACAGTTAATAAATTATATTTTATAATATATTATTTTTTTTTTTGAAATACCTACATTTATTGTAAATGAAGCATTGTTTTCTATTCTTTTGTAGAATATTCATGAGAAATTAGAATTAGCATTAGATGAGAACAGTATCTTTTACAAACTTGGTAGTGCTGGACTTATTACATTCTCTGATTACATTTTTTTATTAACGGTGTTATCAAGTAAGTTCAATTAATATTCTTAATGCTTATATCATTTCATAAAAAAAGGCAAAATAGATATAAGTAAATTATTTATTTTAGCATCTAGGCGTCATTTTGAAATAGCATTTAGAATGTTTGATTTTAACGGCGATGGTGATGTAGATTCTGAAGAATTTGGAAAAGTTGCTACGTTAATTCGCCAACAAACTAGTATTGGTAATCGTCATAGAGATCATGCCAATACTGGTAACACGTTTAAGGTTTCATTTATTACTACTTGTTTACAAATTAAATATAAATTACTACAATTAAGTTACTTAATAGACCAATTTTTTATAGGGCGTAAACTCAGCTTTAACGACTTATTTCTTTGGTCCCAACATGAAACAGAAATTAACAATAGAAAAATTTCTAGACTTCCAGGAACAATTGCAAAGAGAAATTTTAAGTCTTGAGGTAATACATTTTTACTTTTATTTTTTTTTACACAGTATTTTGAGGAATGTGTCTACCGTGTAAAAAAAAGAGTTGGGTGTATGTATATTTACTTATATTTTCTAATAATATACTTTTTTCAGTTTGAACGTAGAAATCCGGATGAAAATGGGAATATAACTGAAGTAGATTTTACTGAATTGTTATTAGCATATGCTGGTTATTCCGATAAGAAGAAAGCAAAAATGTTAAAGAGAGTTAAAAAGACGTAAGTATAAATAATAATAAAAGTAAAAAATAATAGATATAAAAGTCTTTAAATGTTTATAATAATATAACAAACTTTTAATATAGTTTCAAAGAAAATCCTAAAGGAATTAATAAAGAAGAGTATCTCAAGTTCTTCCATTTTTTAAATAATATTAATGATGTTGATACAGCTTTGACATTTTATAATATCGCAGGTGCTTCTATCGATCAAGGTATCTTCTGTAATATTTTTTATTATAATTATATTAATTAGGTACTCACAAAATAAATTTTTATATTTTTTAGCAACGTTAAAACATGTAGCAAAAACAGTTGCCCATGTAGACTTAAGTGATCATGTTATCCAAGTTGTTTATACAATATTTGATGAAAACTGTAAGTTAAATTTCTTTCTATAATTTTATATTATATAACAAATTACTATAAGTGCATTAATGAAATAATTATTATGTTTTATCTAGTGGATGGACAACTTAGCAATCGAGAATTTATAGCAGTAATGAAAAATAGAGTACTTCGTGGCTTAGAGAAACCGAAAGATACAGGATTTATCAAATTAGTGCAATCATTAATCAAATGTGCAAAAAATAGTTACTTAATTCCCGCGTTTGATAAATAATTACTTATCATTTTTAGCATTAATAATATTAATTCCTCAAATTGCTTTTGTATAATAATTTCTTAGTAATGACAAAGTTATCTATTTAAGTATGTTATTACAGTCACCTATCTAATATTAAATTTATAATATAATGATGCTTAAGACTGCAAAATTTGACTATTGTCAAAAATAAAAAATATTAAATAATTTATATTATTAATATATAAAATAGAAATATATCTTAAAATTTAATTCGCCATAAATCTTATCGTTGAAAGTAAAATGTTAAAGTATAATATAATATTGTCAAACTATAGGATGAAGTAAATTCCTTTCACATCTCTTTATTAAATAGAGCATAACACGTAGAATGTCTTCAGTTTCTCTTAATATTGAATTGTATTAATAATCCAATATCTTCTGTTGATCGTGTAACATATGATTTAGTTATAGTTCCAATTATTAATTTTACTTGGTGTGTTTATGCCATATATTGTGTTATTAAAATGATAAAAAAAGAATATATAAAAATAATAGTGCTATGGCAATTTTTAATAATCATAAATATTAACGCTGAACATACACAAATTCGCATGAAGATTGATGTACCAAGTAAGTTGTTAAAAAATTGTTAAATAAAATCGATGTTATAAAAAAGGCTCATACAATAAAAAAAAAAACATAAAATGAATGTATTGAAAGCTCTTTTGTACTGATTTATGTTCCTATCCTTTCATTTTTCCTCTCACTTAAAAATTTACATCTTCTCAAAAGAAACTTCACTTCAAAAATTAAAATTTTATAAAACATAGCATAATTATATCTGCATACAAGAGAATAATATTTGTTTACAGTAGATTCAAGTTCAGATGCAACGAAAAATAATGACGAATCACCACAAAATGATATAAAGAACGAATTGCTAAAACAAGGACAATTTTTTAGGTAAATAATTATACTATTATTTTTAAAAATAAAGAGGAATACCCTTATTATAATTGTTTTAAATAGGGATTTGTTCTCCGAGCAATTATCGGAGCATGAAATTGAATTTGGTCATGTATGTGAAAATCCCGACGAATGGGAGCAACGATTCGAACGACAAGATATGAAAGCAAATAATTATCGTGGAAAGGTAAAATAAACAATACTTTTTACGTTATATCCTAATCTTAATATTCTTCTTATTATAATTATTTATATTTTAGGTAAAGTGGGGTAATAAAAATGGCGAATACGGAGAACATTATTGGGATTTGAATCATTAAATTAAATACCGTTGAAACTTTTAATTACTATGCTAATTACTAAAATTATTATTTTAATAAATAGATTATAGAATATGTTAACACAAATAAGCCAATAAGTCCCGAAACACCTTGTATAAAAATTAAATTATTTAGGTGGCGCTGTATTCATTTGTAATCGCAATATGTGAAAAATATTTTTCGCTGTAAAATTAATTGAGAATAATATTATTAAAATTCATAAGTTTAATATTTTAAATTAAAAATGGAATTACCAATGATAAAGGTTTTATTCAAGGAAACTTCCTGTCCAAATAAAAATCTTAAAAATCGACCTGTTCAATCTATGTCAAATATAATGTTCATTAGCGATGTTTTGGCTAAACGAATATACAATTGCAAAAATAATGGTAATAATAATATATGATTAATCATTTTCGCATTTAATTTTATAACACATTTATATATTTTTATATAAATCTACATATTATAAAAATAGATTTAAAAGAAAAAGAAGATACAGAAAATAATGATCGATATTGGGCAGAAAAATTAGCAGCTTTAGACGAGGATCATACGAAAAGAAATAAACTCGATAAAAAAGAAATAGATAAACTTTTTCGAAAAGTCGTAAATTATGCACAACAGACGAATGATAAAGCTTGTTCGTGTGAGGAAACAAAGGTATCGTTATTAAAATTTGATTTATACAATTACATAGATAATCGTTCCTTGATAATACTAATGATACTTCTTTCGTGTTCAGGTTAAAGATTGCTATAATAATAATAAATGTCAAACACTTCGTTGTAACGAAGAAGTTGACAATTTTATTAATTGCGTTAATAAAATGTTTTACAAGTCTGTTCGTACTGATAATGATATCTTCCCATCGAATAGAAAGTACACTTATAATGAAAAATTCAGACGAGGATATTTATTTTTATAAATACTCTACTTTATGTTATTTAATTTATATTATTTTTAAATATATATACGAAATATATATACATATATAAAATTTTGAACTATAATATTAAATTATTTTGTAAATTTACATATATCAGACCACAAAGGATATCAGCATCGGTGGTTCAGTGGTAGAATGCTCGCCTGCCACGCGGGCGGCCCGGGTTCGATTCCCGGCCGATGCAAAAACTTTTTTTTATTACTTTTTTTTCTAATAATTAAATTTTTAATTGACTATTGTGCAACACCTGCCATCGAAGCATCGGTGGTTCAGTGGTAGAATGCTCGCCTGCCACGCGGGCGGCCCGGGTTCGATTCCCGGCCGATGCAAAACTTTTTGCATTTTTTCGAAAAATTTGATCTGCATTACCATCAGTCTGTAAGGCAAAAATTGCAATAGTAAGCAATTACGGTTCCTATGATAGGTAAGAGATATTTCCTACATTACTTACAACAAATAGAGACCGAACTAGCATAAAAAAGTTGTACTAGTTTACCTAAAACGCTAAAAAACGACTGGAGTTTACTCCTTAAGAGCACTTATTCATTATTTTCTGCTGTTGCGATTCTATGCCAAATTTTTTGTGGTGACTGAACTTATCACCGACAGTCTTTTATTTTTAATTGCAATTAAGTCGGTTTAATTTTGGTTTAATATTACCGCGAATAAATGAAATGATATTAAACAATTACTTTTTATTTTCAAAAAATTGAAAGAACTGTTCATGAATATCGTCCTAGGAATATTATTCATAAAACAAATAGAATAAATAACACGAAACAGAAAAAGTAACGATCCAAAAAATAATATGAAAGCAAGAAAATAGATTCTTCAGCATAACGCGTTATATATTTCACGTTTAAAAAAAATAAATATTAAAAAAACATGATCGAGGGAACACGAGTGTTTCCAACTAATGGATCGCAATCTATGATCAAATATCGTTTAAACGCAGCCGAGAAAAGTTATATCCTTTTAAAAAAGAAATCTGATACCTTGTTAACCTATTTTAAAACAATATTAACAAAATTATTGGAAAAGAAATCGATATTAAAAGAAGTTATGAAGGAAGCCTCGTTTTCTTTGGCCGAAGTTAATTATATAACCGGTAATATAAATCAATTTGTATTGCAATTAGCAAATAAGGCAACGATCAAAGTATTATCACGAAAAAATATTATCGTTGGTGTTAATATTCAAACCTATGAATATTACGAAGAAGGTTTGGATCCTTTTCTTTACACTGGCTTAGCAAGGGGAGGACAACAGGTATCAAATTATTATTATCAATAATTATATTCACATTTATATGAATATTTTTACATCGACAGGTACTTAAAGTGAAAAATAATTATCGAAATGCATTGGAACTCCTAATTCAATTAGCATCTTTGCAATCTAGTTTTATAACATTGGAGGAACATTTAAGAGTGACTCATCGTCGTGTTAATGTACTACGTTATATTATTATACCACGATTAAAATCTACATTGACGTATATTGCGGCTGAATTAGAAGAACGCGAAAGGGAAGAAATTTTTAGATTAAAAAAGGTACAAACACGAAGAAGAACTAAGTCGAACGCGATAAGAAATATTTCAATTATCGAAGATACTAAAAAAGCTATCGACGACACCGACCATGATCTACTTTTTTAAAAGCATTTTTTCTAATATTAACACCCCTTTCATTTAAACGTTTACAACCGCGCAGTATAGAGAGATCGCTATACTAAAATTAGATTTAAAACAATACGATAACGCGGTAACTCATTGGAACTCACAGATCGGTCATCGATGGATTCAACAAAATCATAAAAAAAAAGTAATAAATAACATCGAATATATAAAATCCACACAGTTGAAATGGAAATTTCTAAAGAAAATAAACTACCCGTTTAGAAAAAATAAAATTATCGTAAAAATGGATTTCTTTTCCATACCTCAAAAAAAGAAAAAAGGAGGAACATTATAGGTTTCTTTTCGAAAGACAAGAAAATAGAAATAAAAAAGAGTCTATTGAATGGGGGACTTTTTGAATGAGAGAGAAATAAGAAAGAGAAAGAGAGAGATGACGACCGAGGAGCATGGAATTTTTCACGTCAGTTCCAATGAGAAACGAGTTACGAAAGATTCCTCTCTTTCTTTCCCGGAGAAGAACGTGGAGTCCTCCACGTTTCGGAAGCAAGCTCCCTACACTTTCTTGGACCAGCAGCAACAGCAGCAGCAGCAGAGGAGGGACCTTTAGGAGGGTCGACTTGAGGAGCAAGCAACATACTACACAGCCAGGCTCTCATTATCATATCCCAGTGTTTGGCGGCGGTTAAGGTTGGCTTTATGGGGCTGTATTTTCTTCGTATAATTGGGCTTCGCGCTCCGGTGCCTCTTTCTCCTTCGTCTTCTCCCTTTTTATTCTTCTTCTTCTTCCTTTTCCTCTTCCTCGCTCTTCCTGTGCATCCTCTTTTTCTCTCTCTGTTTGTTGTGCAGTATCTATGTATGTATTTGTGAATATATGTGTGTGTGTGTATACCTATAGTGTGCCCCTCGAGCATTTATTATACTTCGAACCAACAACAACCATTTCTGTCCCTTTATCTTATTTTTACTATTTTTATTTCCTCCCCTCCACTTCTTTTCTTTTCTTTTCATTTCATTTCATTTCTTTTCCTCCTTATATATATTTTTATTGTTATTATTATTATTATTATTATTTTAATCTAAAATATGACCACCAGTTTGAGGAAATGTTTTTACAATGTTTCACGTATTTTCTCTTAAAAGTTTTATTGTTACTTCTATGTAAAGTTAAAATAAATATAACAAAATGCAATGAATTTTGCAAACCACTTTTTTTTGTTTTTTAATGTTTCTTTTTAATATTGAAGAATAAAGAGGGAGAAAAAATGTTGGATGCATAACAGATTGTTGTTTAAATATAAGGAATCCTAAATTTAATCAGTTCCATAATTACGGCACGTGGCATAAGGGATGGAGAGGTAGGGGGGTGACAAAGATGAAGTTCGAAAAGAGGGGAGAAGTAAACAGATGCCGCCACCAGCGATGCTTGAGACGCTTCTTGGAAGGGCAACGAATGTCAGTACTACGGGAAACCCGGTTGCGGGTGGTTGTTGCAACCCGTTTCTTCATATGAACATGCACTATTTACAATCTCGCGTTGTTTATCGTACATACGAATGATTTCCAGTGATAATTCAAACATAATTTTCAAGAATTTCTAGTGCAAAATTATCTAACAATTAATAAACATCCTATACATTTCGATAAACTATCGAAAATCGTAGAACACGTCGTAAAAATACGAAAAAAAAACAAGTTTCTTCGAGAATGTGATATGTTATAATCCGAATAATTGATCGAACAAATAATTATGCGAATGGGATTTTGTTCGTGTGACGAAAGATAAAGTGTACGAACAAAAATATCGTCTGGTCTTCATTAGATTTCAATTTCTTGTAAAAAATTCCACCTCACTCCCCGAACCCCTTAAAAAACATCTCGATAATCGACGGCCGATATTTAAAAACTTTACCAAAAAAAATTCCTCCTCAATCAAATTCTATTTATTTTCTTTTTTTCAACGTTAGTACGTATGAATCACGTAAGTTAGACGATTACACGGAAATGTAAACGAAAATAAGAAAAGATAAACCCCGGGGGTGGGTTAAGAAAAAGCATTTGAAAAAGGCGCCTCGGATTTGAAAGAATGTAAACAAAACGTGACAGCATGTCGACGAATCGGTAAAAAAACGGGTGTGCAAGGAAAACTAACAGATTAAAGAGCCTAACTTCTTGCCGTCTTCTCTTCCTACTTTTTTCTTTTCCTTTTATTTTTCTATCCGACGGAAGTGCTGTTACTGTGAGATTCGAAAAAGAAAAAGAAAAAAAAAAACAGGAAGAGGAATAGAAAAAGGGGAAAGAGTTTTGGAGACTCGAGGTTCGAGCATTTGTTTAAGAAATTATTGAATTAAATTAAAAAAAAAAAAAAACGAAAAGAAGAAAAAATGTGGTGGTGGGTTTTGTTATCGATATTCTCGCAAAGGATGCAGCACGTTCTTGGAGCGTGCGAGCCTATAAGGATAGAAATGTGCCGTGGTTTGGGGTACAACGTGACCGCCATGCCGAATTTGGTGGGCCACGAGATTCAAGGAGACGCCGACTTCACCCTACAAACGTTTAGCCCTTTGATTCAGTACGGATGCAGGTGAGAACAGTGTCTCTCAAAATTTTTTTCTTTTTAATATATTTAATTACATCTAATCACATTGATCACACAATGTATCTTACATTTTTTTCTTTCATCCCCTTGTAATACTTTTTTCTTTTCTTCCTCGTTTATCTTCAAAAATTTAAATATCAAAAATAAATGTTCCGTATTGTTATCTAAACACTATCGATAACGTATCGCAACGCGTGCCGAGTGGTTAAACTTGCGCTGTTAAAACGCACGTGTATTAAAATACGAAAGTTCGTGTGTGTTTGTTATCTCTTGTTTTATATTTAATATTATTAATATATATTTTAATGAGATTATATATAGTTTTATTTATTTTAACAAAATGTGTCAATTGCATATTGCTAAGAGTAAGTGAAGTATAAGATCGAGAATCATAAATCTAAATAATTTCATTTATCTCAATACCTTGTTGACCAATTCAATATTAAAATAACAACATTAATAAGCAACGTTATTACTCTAATATTTTTTTAACTTACTGATGTATTAACAATCAAATCCTAAAAGATAAACTTCACCTATCATATGAATCGCATTTATTTATTTAAAAAGAAATCTATATAAATCTATTTATAAATTAAATATAGATAGTTAAAAGTTATACAGTATTATCTCTTACACAAACACGAACTCGCATTTGAATACAAGAAGTGCACAGTGTAACGTTGTACACGTGTAGGAAGCTTTGAAAGCCCCGGCAAAGTACGAACATTTTCAAGATAAGCAAGTTTAATATGTAACCAATATTAGCAGCTGAAAGATAAAATAATCAGAGCACCGATGAGGTGTGTTTGATACACACACAACAGTTAGTGATTTTATAAATTTATAAAACGATACGGAAAGTTAATTTTTGATACCCTTTTTTAAGATATCACATTTTCCCGAACCCACCGCCCAATCATGTTCAATAGTTCAATATTTTTCTTCTACGAATCTATAATTGTAATGAACAATAATTCATCTGAGTATCTTTAACAAAATGCTGCATTTTGATTTTTAAAGTGCACAACTGCATTTATTCCTCTGCTCGGTTTATGCGCCAATGTGTACGGAAAAGGTGCCGTCGCCAATTGGTCCTTGCAGAGGTTTATGCGAACAAGTAAGAGCAAGATGCTTTCCAGTTCTTCAAGGCTTTGGTTTTCCTTGGCCCGCGGCTTTGAATTGTTCCAAATTCCCACCTGTGAACAACCATCATCATATGTGTATGGATGGACCAGGTGAACCAGGTCCTGCTAACCCTATTCAGGTAATCTTGAATAAACATGAATCGTACGAATTGAAACACATGTTTTTTTCCAACAAAAAAATATGTAAATTTGATTTTTTAGGCAATTGGTGCTAGTGGTGGACCATGGGGTTGTTCGTGGTATGCCAAATCTGGTTTATACGTATTCCTAAATCGTTCTGGAAGATGTGCAGCAACTTGCGAAGCAGATATACTTTGGTCTCCGAAGGATAAGAAAACTACCCAAGCATGGATGACAGTATTTGCAATAATTTGCTTAATTTCCGTCATCATTGCAATATTATCTTTGATGAAACCGAGAAAAAAAGCTGCGATCATGAATACGGCCGGTAAGTGAAAAAATAAAAAACGAAGCAACTGAGAAAAATTGAATCAAATAAATTGTACGATTTCATCATTTCTTATTTAAATTATGGTGATGCCTATAGTTTGTAGACATTAACATAATTGGGAGAGTAGAAAAACATGAACATAGTAATTAGGATTGTAGAACATATAGAAGAAAAAAAAAAGGAAAAAGAAAGGAAGATTCCTTTTTAAAATACCACCTCAATTAAGTATAATCTCTGATCTTTCTGATCTGATTAAATCACTCTTATTTACAGAGAAAGTAATTACATGTCTGGCAGTTTGTCATGGGATAGTCGCAGTAGGTTACGTGATTCGATTAGCTGCTGGCCGATTGACCGTAGCATGTACACCCGCAATACCGTTACATCCCCAAGATCAAGCTGTCATATCTCAACACCAACAACAGTATTTGACCCAGGATGGATTATCCAATCCCTACTGTGCTATAGTCTTCATCCTGTTGTATTATTTCGGACACGCAGCGATCGTATGGTGAGTAATCATTTTTTATCTTTAATAAAACGTGAGGACAAAATCATATCGGGGGAAAAATTATTGCAACGTATAAAAATCATCCGAAATATGATGGGGTGGGTTTCCTTTGAAAGTAAAACCTTGGCATTGATGTCTCCTCTAAACTCGAATGAATGAAACAACCATCGGAGTAAGTAAAGGGAAAAAGAAAACAGAATAAAAAAAACATTTCAATGAGAGGGAAAGATGATGAAGGAAGAGGAGAAGAAGAAGGGAAGAGGAAAGAGTCTTCCTGGTAATAAGATCGTGGAAGCTACAAAATCAGTACAAAAGGGTGTGTACATTTGTAAAAGGGTTTGACTCTTGGGTTCGAGTATATGGTGTTGGTGTGTAGTAAGCCACTTGGTGTGTGTGTGTGTGTGTGTGAGAGAGTGAACGTTGAAGATTGGTGGTAGGGAAAGAAGGGATAACAATCTGGCAACAGTGTTGACTCCCCTCGTGCCGCTAACGAGCCTCCAACTCCCATCTCGTCTCATCTCGTCCCGTTTATACTGTGAGCCTCGTCTTACTGGATATAACGGGTGACGTGTAAAAACATCGACCATTTCCGCTAGTCGAAAAAAGCTTCGAGAACTCATATCGCATCGTCTCGACATGAACTTTTTTTCAACGAGATTAAAATCTCACAATTCTATACGCCATTGACTTCCTTGATCTTTGAATATTTCATTGAATTTTAATAAGTGAATTGATCAGATTATTTTTTATTCAAGGATCACCGGGTATTCAATGGGGAATTTTTATCGGAGCTTAAAAGAAGTTAATTAAATTACTGTTACCTATAATAACCTTTAGAAATCGTACTATTGTTCCAACGTATATACACAAGTTAAATACCAATTGGAGAATATTTTCATATATACATGCATCATACATATGTATGCACATATGATACGCTAAAGTATGCGAAATCATTGAATCAGTTGTATGAGAGAAAGTTTTACAAAGCGATCGGTTAGGAAGGGGCGGGAGGAAGTCAAGTCGAGCCGATCAAAAGATCCGAAAAGTCTGCCCTTAACGAACGGCCCTTTGTGTATATATACTTTGCTTACCCCTCGAATCCTAATTTTGAATTCGGCAATTGTTACCGCTGATTTACATATGGCGGAATTCGAAAATACCGGCTGGTGGAAGTGCCGTGGAAGAATAGAAAAAAACGAGGTGAAAGAAAGCAAACAAGCAAGTAAGAAAGAAAGAAAGAAGGGAAAGGGAATATGGGGTCTGTAGGAGGGTTTGAGTAGAATGCCGCGTATCCGAGTATATGTGAACATACATATGTGCGCACGAGTGAGTGTACGAGATGAGAGGTGGTGGGTGAGGGGTAAGCTGTTGGGGAGTAAAAGGAACGAACTATAGAAGAGGGGGGAACGAGTAGGGGGGAGGAAATAAGGCGGGACAATGCATAGAAGTGCTATTGAGTTCATGGGATGTGGTTGTGTTCCTGGCTCTTCTTCGTGTGTCCGTAGGGCGCGATATTTATCGGCTCTTTCGATGTAAATTATGGCTGTACACTATGTACTTCGGTGCACTGGGCCTTCCCCATAGCCTACCACGATGGGAGAGAACCCATCTACTACTATACATCTACCTACTACTACTACTACTACTACTCCTGCACGCTTACATGCTCAATACCTTCTGTAACTCTTGGTATCCAAAGGTGTACGATCGAAAATCTTTCTACGCATATATCAGCATGTGTAAGAGGAGTTTCACGCTCAGGGTCGTTCGCTGCCCACGAGAAATCCATGAGGACTTTTTATTTTCTCTTTTGTTACAATCCTTCTTCTTTTTTTTTCTTCCCCCTTCCTCGTTAAAATACATAACACACGAACACAATGAAAGAGAGAGAAAGAGAACTATAAGCGTGTAACAAAAAATACGAATGCATAGACACGTGTGTATATGCACATTTAAACAACCCTATCACAATTTCTCTTTAAACATTATTTGTACTATTACCTTAGTCCAAATAATGTATGTATGTACATATATCAACGAAAAAGTCGAGAATAATGTAAATAGTCAAGAAAAATCAATAGTCCCTTTTTACTACGCCAATGAAGGAACGAACGGTGCTGCGAGGGTCCAAAAGTTGGGATGTGTTTCGAGAGTAGTACCCACTCTTTCTCTCTCTCTCTCTCTCTCTCTCTGAGTAGACGACCGGCTGAGGTAGACCAGCAGTGTCGCCCTTTGTGCCTTTCCCTTCTCAACCAACCCCTCCCTCCTCCTTCTCCTCCACCTCTTCCTCCCTCTCTTTCTCTCATCCCCTTATTCCGAGAGAGACTTTTTATTTTTCGATTTCTCTCAAACCGTAGTCTTCTTCTTCTTCTTCTTCTTTTCCTCTCGTGCATCTCTCTCTCTTTTTTTTCTGGAGGTACTCCTCCACCACAGCACGCTGTTCGGCTTTCATGGGCGTCTCAGGAACAAGGAAAAAAGGATAAGTTGTGGAAGAGGACGGGACGGGTCCGAGAGAGCTGATCCATCATCTCTCTGGTCCCCCGTACCGGTGCAGACTCCATCGCGACTCGAACCTGCTGTCCAGTTTCTCTCTCCCTCTTTTCTACCTACTACGTTCGTCTGTTCCTTCATTCGCCTGCTTGCTTGCTAGCTCGCTAGCTTGCTTGCTTGCTTGCTTGCTTGCTTACCTGCCTGCCTGCCTTACCTGCAGGCTTTGTCCCTTAAGCTTTCTCCCTCCCTCTCTTTCTCATCACTACACAGACTTTAGGATCCGGATCCGAGAATTCCTCGATAATTTATCCGAGATAAGGCTCTTACAAGAAGCAACTGCCCCCCAACCAACCCCCCTCCCAACTTCAGACTCCCTCCTGTACCTTTAGCTGTTCTCGATAACGAGCCAAACTCTCCTACCCTGATCAGTTTTCAAACCCGACACCCACCAACACCAACAATCTCTTACCAACGTGTATTACTCTCTTTTTATTTTGGATCCTGAATTCTTTTTTCCTTTCTTTTTTTAAAGAGTAAGAATTTGGTATGGTTCGAGTTACTGTTGTTGTTGTTGTAGGTCCTGGAGATTATACTGAATCTCTATCTGTCATTTCTTTTTTTTTAAGAACTCCAAGTTGACTTTTTTAACAGCTAGATTTTCCATTGTAGATTAATTTGGGGAAAAATGGGTGGTCCAGATGCAATCCTGACAACGGACTTCATTTAATTGTTATGTCCTCTTTCACGGAAATTTCTTTAATGTATTACTATTTTCATTTGGAATGTAACCTTTCCTTTTTTTTTGTTGTAAAAATAAGATTTAGTATGGTTCGAATTGCTGTTGTGTTGTATATCATGGGTTCGCGTAAGGTTACACAAATATCTGATTCTTTAAATATCTTCATTTTACTTTTTGTATTTTTCTTCTTCCTATTCTTTAGAATTTCCGGGTATATTTTTTAAGAGGACAATTTTCCCATTTTAGTTTCACTCGAAAAGCGTGATGGTTCGGATCCCATTTCGACAATAGAATTCTTTAGAAACGCTGTCCTTTCACAGAGATCTCATATTTTATTTTTTTCTTTTTCGTAAAAAATAGAAATCACACACCATCAATGTTTATTCTTAATTCGTTACCGATTTTATTCACGTATTAATCTTTTCACGTAAGAATAGGGAATTGTCATGGCTCGGGTTGCTGTTGTTGTTGCAAGTATCTACACTGTCGCAAAGTTGCTAAACGTGTATTGGATATTTTATTTCTCATTCTCTTATTTGTTTCTGCTTTTTTTAATTCCTTTGGTTTTTTTTAAGAGGAAGATTTTCTGTTGTAATTTCACTTGGAAAGTGGATGGTCCAGATACCATCTCGAGCAACTGGCTTCGTTAGGAGGAACACTGTTCTTTCACAGAGATCTTATCTTATTTCGTTAAAATGGAAATAGGTGTGATCAGGATAGTAGTAGTAGTTGTTATTGGTATTGGTTTGGAAGATTTAAGGTTGGACCCTGGAGTTCTCTTATTTCTCACTCCTTCTCTTTATCCCTTCTTTTGTTAGACCTTTCTCAGGCCATTAGGATAATCCTGCAGGATACCTCCCCCAGTTGCATTTCTACTTTAAAAGTGGATGATGGTCGTCCATAATACCTTTTGTTATTTACTCTTCCAATCCATCACTTTTTCACAGGATTCTAATCTTTATTTATATTATTTGTTCTTTTACAAAGAATAAAATTAGTTTTGGTAGGATAGATATACTATTGATTTTTCGATTCTCAAAATACTAAATTGACCATACTTCAATACTCATATTTGTTATTCTTCACCTATTTAGAATGATTTGATCTTATTGTAAGAATAGAAAGATGTTAGGAGTTCTGGTTTAGGTATACAAAAGTAGATATGCATGATGAATAGTATTAAATATGCTTCAATACTAATCCATTCAATATTACCTATTCACAATAAATCTTCTTATTGTAAAATAGAATTTATGGTAAATATCTGGAACGATGGTTCAAGATGTTGAAAATAAATCAGCTTTAGATTCCTCATTATTTGTTTCTTTTTAAGTAATCTTGAATGCTTTCACATTACCATATTGAATAATTACGGTGATGATGTAAGAGGTGTCTGATGAAAAACAAAAACAAAAAGGAAAAATTAAAATTAAACCAGTTCTCTTATCTCTTCCTTCGTTTTAAAAAAAATTGCTTCTTCTTCTTTTTCTTCTTGTTGTAACGAAAAATTAATTCAGATTTCTTTCAAATTACTAACCATAAGTGTGGGGATCCTACAAGGTTTCGAGTCTTATAGTTTAGTTCGAAAAGTGGATGGATGGATGGATGGATGGATGGATGGATGGTGGGCCCAACGAAAGAAGAAGGTTCGCGAGAGGAAGAACGACTTAACAACTCGTTAACTAACAAAACAAACACGATGCGACTAGTGCCCCTTTCATCTCATCTCGTTGATTATATACCTCGCGGCGAACCGTGTACGACGAAG